GGGCTCCTCCTGTGCCCGCCCACTGGCTGCAGAAGCCGCCTCTCCCTGGATCCGCCAGGGGGACGGAGAGGAGCAAGACGGGTGCTGTTCTGGACGGACTCGGCTTTGCTGCGGGCAGGCGGCCGGCGCGGCCGAGGAGAAGCCCAGGCTGAGGCAGAAGCCGGGGAGAGCGACCGAGTTCCCGTGGCTGGGTACCGTGACTGAAACGATGGGGCACAGTGTGTGCACCAGGGAGAGGCTCGTCCTGTTTGGCGTGGTCGAGAAGAAGCCTGGGGCGTGCGGTGCTTCGCCTGCTCCCCGTCACGGCCGCACTGTGCACGCTGCGGTGGGGAAGGGCTCCGTCTCCACGCCCTCGCCAGCCCTGCTCTCTCTCCTCTTTCTGGTGGCAGCCAGCGGATGGGCGTGCGGTGACAGCTCCGAGTGGTTCTCCTTTGTGTCCGCCCGTCGGTTAGTGATGTCGGGCACCTTTCCATACATCCGCGGGGCATTTTTAGAACTTGTTTGAAGAAAGAAATAAAGCTGAGGTCTTTTGTCCACTGTGACATACGGTGAGTTAGTTTTTCCACGGTCGAGACGTTGGAGTTCTTACTGGCTCCTTGAAAGTGGAGCTGAAGATACCGGGTACACAGGCGGTAGTTCTGCCTCTGAAGGAAGCGAACTGCCGCCATCTCCCCATGTCGCATATGCGCGGAACCGGCAGAAGGCCAGGTGCGCCGAAATAGACAAGAAAAGCGGTTTCCAGGAGCAGTGCCGGGGAGGACCTGGGGTGTTCAGAGGAGCCAGACAGCAGCTGTGTGGGACGAAGGGCCCCCGGGCTGGTGTGCAGCATTCCGACTCCGAGGATTTCATTGTAGCTAGGGCTTTTGCTGAGGGAATAAATTTTACCTGCATTTGCCACACACGTGAAAATAGGTGACCACATGAGGTGATGGGTAGGACCCACATCACTAGGGTAACCACTCAAACATTGCACTGTAGATGCCACATACCTAGAACACGCCAGGCAACAAGTGCGGCCCTGCAGTCCCAGCACTGTGGATGCGGAGGCAGGCGGTTTACAAGTTTGAGCCCCATCTGGACACTTCGGCAACTTCGCAAGGCAATTAAAACACAGAAGGGCCAGAGACGTGGCTTGGTGTTATGTTCCCAGTGCTGCTAACGGACAGATACGTGCAGTAAACGTTATAAAAATAAAAAAGAGAAGTGAGGGTCTGCTCGCGCAGGGAGGAAGTTCCTAACGGCTCTGCGGGCCGGTGTCCCGGGCTCTGCCGAGAACGGAGGCCTTCAGGCTGGCGGGAGAGAGAGGCAGCCACATCACAGAGCAGCTCTCTGTCCACCGCTGCCCGGGGCGGCCCCAGGGGCTGAGCCACGTGGACAAGGGGGCTTCTCAGGGATAGGAGTGTACAGAAGGTGTTTGATGGGGGACTCGTGGCTTCCCCCCAGGTCTAACTATTTCCGCAGTTCGATTACACAGTAAAGGTTAACAGAACACTGTGGAAAAGGAAACGTGAACAGGAGGAGAGGAACGAGTGCTGGTACTGAGCACGAGGTTCTGACTGAGTTTCAACAGAAAGAGGCTGAGAAGGCGGACGTGTTGGGTGCAGGGAGACGCAGGGCTGCGGTCTGGAGGCGGGCGGAAGGAGTAGGAGGGAAGGGGGCGGCCAGCGGGCTGGGACACCGCGACCTCGCCTGGGGGGTGGCTCCGGTCCTGGATCGGTTCTGCCCCGCGCCTGCCAGCTGCCCCATCACACAGGTGCCCTCTAAGCCAGAAGGACCCTCGCAGGCTACAGCAGGGGAGACCCCGGCTCAGACGAGCAAGGAGAAGCTCCACACTTAGGGATTAGAGAAGCCCAAGTTACGGCGATGAGGTTACCGTACTCCACACCCTCGCGCTGAGGTGATGACTTTAGACCACACGCCCTCTTTCTGAGACGGGCTGGCTGAGAGGCCCCGACTTGTGTGTGGACGTCCAAATCCGCACTGCCCCAGAAGGAGACCTTCGTTTGAAACAAGATCCTCAGAGGCACAGCTGGTTAGACTGAGGCGATCCCGGAGGAGCATGGACACCTAATGCGACAGAAAAGACTCGGATTCAAACAGGGAGGGTGCAGGAGACGGAGAAGGCTCAGGTGGGGCTGATGCCTCTGTAAGCAAAGGGGTGGCGGGGCGGGCAGAACCCCGCCTTGGCAGGGACCATCTTGGTCTCTGCTTTGAAGCAACCCTTGCCGGAGACAGCGGACACCTGCTGTTTACGCCACCTGTTGGTGGCATTTTGCAACGGCAGCCCTGGAAAATGAACGTGCTACTGGAGCAGCGAGGATCCAGAGGCTGGGGGACCCCGGGTTGGGGGGTGTGGGGGCCCCGGTTCTGCTGGCAGAGAAGACCCTCGCGTGACGATTCCCCGGAGCGCACTTTGGCAGTGACGGAGTGAAGGACACAGTCACGCACCACAGAATAGGGCGGCTTCCCGGTTTGGCTTTGCAGCATGGCGGAGGGAACCCAGGGCCTTTGCACTGAGCGCTATCCCCAGCCCTCTTTATTTATTCTGAGACAGGGACTTGCTAAGTGCTAAGCTGCTCACACTGTGCTTGAACTTTTGATCCTTCCGCCTCAGCCTCTGGAGTGCTGGGGTCACAGGCTGGTACCAAGGGCCTGGCTAGGGGCTCGGCATTTCGGTCAACAGCGGGCTGTGCATGCAGAGGGCTTCCCGTGAGGGTGTAACAGACAGAGCTGAGAAAGCCCGCCGTAACCCCCAGTCCGGTGTTAACCGCGGGCCGGAGCAAGGCTGGGGCGTGCTGCCTGCCGCTGCGGATGCCTCACGAGATAATAAATAGCGGTGCAGCAGTGCATATGCTTGCTGTAGTTTGTTTTTTTGTGTTTGTTTGTTTGTTTTTTGGTTTTTTGAGACAGGGTCTCACTATGTAGTTGAGACTGACCTGGAACTCACTATGTAGCCCAGGCTGGTCTCGAACTCACAGCGATCCTCCTGCCTCAGCCTCCTGAGTGCTGGGATGACAGAGGCGTGCCACCACACCCGGCTGCTTGCTGTAGTTTTAGTTATTTCAGGGTGTAGGTCCCTGCTTACCAGGTCTCACTATAGTTGAGACTGACCTGGACCTCACTATGTAGCCCAGGCTGGTCTCGAACTCACAGCGATCCTCCTGCCTCAGCCTCCTGAGTGCTGGGATGACAGAGGCGTGCCACCACACCCGGCTGCTTGCTGTAGTTTTAGTTATTTCAGGGTGTAGGTCCCTGCTTACCTTTGAAGAAAAGCTGACTGAGTGGTTGGTCGGCCGTAGCCTCACGCACCCCACCCTCGGTGTCCCACTGCGTTGGTACTCGGCCTGGTGCGCAGGATGGTGCTCATGCAGGGCTGAGGTTGCATAGCGATGCGCTTCTCAGGGGGTTCCCACCGCCAAGCGACAGGCGACTGGGTTTCCAACACCCTCTCGCATTGTCCGGGGAGGGTCGTGTGGGACAACCCCGGGCTCCGTGATGTCAGCCGCAGAGCCGGGTCAGGCTGCTGGGCACTGGGGAAGTGAGGGGCAGTGGGCTGGCAGCAGACGAAGGGCCGCAGGTACAGCACCCCAGCTCAGGCTTCTGTGCTGCCGTGTGACTTCTCGCAACAGCATTCACGGCTGGATGTGGAGCTCGGGGTGACACGGTGAGGCCCTGGGTTCCATCCCTGCACCGCCAAAATGCAGGAGCAGGACAAAGGGACGGAGAAGGGAGGGGAACAGAACGCAGTATACATGCTCATCCGTCACTTTTAAAGTCAAACATTCCAAAGAGAAAGATATTTTGATCTCACTTACCTTTGTTTTGGTACCGGGGATTGAACTCAGGACCTCCTGCTTGCGAGGCAGGTGCAGTGCCACGGATCTAAACTGCCCGCCCGTCTCATTTACTTCGAACAGGTCAGGTGGCTGTTGGAGGCGGAGTGGAGCTGTGGGGACTGAGGGGCCTAAGATCAACCCTAGGTCGGGCTGAGCGAGGGCTAAGCCGGAGGGAACCATTACTCTGCCCCAGCTCCCCAGTTCCATCCGGCTCGGAAACGCGCACCCGGAGGGGGACCCGCGACACCCGCTGCTCCTCCGCCTTCCTCGTGGGTGGAGTGGCTGCTGCAGGGCGCCCCACACGGGCGGATCCTACGGCCTGCGAGTTACGGCTCAGTTTTAAAGTGAGAGTTAAGCCAACACACTGCTTTGAGATACAGAGAAATGAGCCATGCCGGTGTTCTAAGTGCACCGCAGTGAAATGACATATTTTAGGTTTATTTGGCTGTGACTGACTTTACTGTTATTTACAAAATGTTTTTTAAATAAATACTTTAGAAGAAAAGGACACTGCCTGCCTCAAGCGCAAGGACCCAAGTTCCATCCCCAAAATGCCCCCCAAAAATGAAAGAAAAAAAATCAAAGAACCCCGCAGGAGCGTGGAACGGGGGAGCCCTCGTGGGTCTCTCCAGGTCTCTCCCACCCTCCCTCCACGCTGGTCCAGGGCTGTGCTGACTCCCGCCCAGCCCTCACTGTCCCGTTCCTTTGCTGTTCTACTTGGGTGACAGAATCTCGAGGTGGCTTTGCCAGGCTTTTCCCTGACAGCTCCTGGAGATGGGCTTTTTGTCACCTGTTAGCTGTCTGAATTTCTCCTTCTGAGACGTAGCCATTTATATCCTGTGCCTACCTTTTAATTAGAATATTTGTTTTTGGTTTTGAGTTTTAAAATTCCTGCATATATCTTGGATATTAATTCCTGGCCAGAGGGATAGGAAGTATGTATTGAAATATCACACTATACCCCGTAAATCTGCCCAATCATTACATGGTGGTAAAAAAAGTTTTTAAAATTTTATTTTGGTATCGGGGATCGAACTCAGGACTTTGCATGTGGGAGGCAGGGGTGATGCCACTGAGCTAAATCTCCCGCCTGCCCTAGTCAAAAATGTTTTTCTTTTAATTTAAGGAGATGGAAATGTTAACTCCCTTGAAGAATGACCTGGGCTATTAAATTATAATAAAATAAATACATCTAAAGCAAAAAAGAAGAAATATTAGCTACTCTAATTTTATCATTACACACTGTGCACATATAAAATTATCACTCTGTACCCCATACAATTTCTAATTAAAATCAATACTGATATAATTAAATGGCAGTGTCACCAGCAGAGGGTGCGCAGGGACACAGGACTGGCTCTGGCGCTGGCCCTGTCCCGGGTCTCTGGGATTCAAGGTGCCTGTGGACAATTCCGTCTCCGGGAAGCTCACGTCGCACAATGCACCCACGCGGCTCCCGACGGCTGAGCTTGCGACACTGGCTGGACCCTTGGGTGGCCCCAGATCCCACCCCTTCCGGCAGGGTTGGCGGGAGCTGGGCTTGGCTCTCAGCAACAGATTAGGGAGCGGTGGGGGACAGTGGAGACTCCTCTCCGCGTGTCCCTGAGTCGGAGGGAATGTAGAATAGCACAGCTGCTATGGAAACTGTACAGAGAGCCTCGGAAAGCACAGCAGTGGCCACTGAGCAGTGTTTTAGTTACACAGGAGGAAGAGGTGTTGCGAGTATTACAAGTACAGGCTCTTCTGAAAGGCTAAGGCCGACCGCACGCATGCCCGCCTGCTCTCGGGCGTCTGTGTCCTGTCGGTGGGCACCTGGGCTGATTCTACCCTGTGGCTCTTGCGAACGACGCCTCTATGAGGGTGGGGTGCAAACGTCTAGAGACCCTGCCTCAGCTCCTTAGGGCTAAGCCAGAAGTGGGGCTTCTGGATCGGAGAGTGATCGGTCCCATGTTTTCAATGAATAGCAGAGGCATCCATTGTGAGGAAACCGCTGCACACACGGCTCTCGATCCTTTACTTCCCCTCCTCTTCCTGCTGTCCCGTCTCCTCCTTTCAAAGAACCAAGCCTGATTCTTTGATCCTTTGTGTTTTCTTAGTCTCCATTTCATTAATTTCTGCTCTGATCTTTATTTAAAAAATGTATTTTTTTTTTTTTTGAGACAGGGTCTCACTATGTAGTTGAGACTGACCTGGAACTCACTGTGTAGCCCAGGCTGGTCTCAAAGTCACAGCGACCCTCCTGCCTCAGCCTCCTGAGTGCTGGGATGACAGATATGCGCCACCACGCCCACTTCTGCTCTGATCATTAATGTCCTTCTACCAGTTTCAGATTGGGTTGCTCCTGTCTGTCCAGGGCCTGGCCACGCACCAGTACCTCATGTACTTGAGACCAGTCTGTTCTGAGGTTAGGAGCCTCCCTCGGAACTGCTGTGCCTGTGTCCTGCAGGTTTCGGTACCTTGCGATTCTGCTGTCGCTGGATTCTAGGTACATTTTTATTTCTTCTCGATTTCTTTTGTTTTGCCCCACTGGGCTGTTCCCCACAGCAGCTGCCAAGGTCCCACCGACCATGCTCTCCACACCCTCACTGATGTTGGTTATTTTCCATTTTAAAAAAATCTATAATCCCGGGCCGGGGATTTAGCTCAGCGGTTCAGTGGCCTGCCTCACAAGCACAAGAATCTGAGTTCGATCCCTGGTACCACACACACACACACACACACACACACACACACACAAATCTATAATCCCAGCACTTGGGAGGCTGAGGCAGGAAGATCGCTGTGAGTTGGTGTCCAGCCTGGGCTACATAGTGAGTTCCAGGTCAGTCTCAACTACATAGTGAGACCCTGTCTCAAAACAAACAAACAAAAAAATCCCCAAAATCTGTAGCCACTTATGTAAGTGCTGAAGTAAGGTCCCACTGGGACCTGGGTTTGCAGTTCACTCTGTGGGAGCAGGAGGTACAGGCCCTGGCCTGTTGCAGGATGGAGGCCGCCAGGCTGGGGGAGCAGATAAGAGAGCTCCCGGCATGGGCTTGCGGGCAGTCGCTAGCAGCTGGAGGAGCAGGAGGGCGGGGAGGAGGGCGGGGAGGAGGGCAAGAGCCTTTGGCACCCTCGTCAGTCCTGCACCCCGCTCACTCACAGCCTGGCAGTGACCACGGAGCTCAGGACCCACGAACATGTCCCCACCCCCGACTGCCCTCCTCTGCCTCGGTGAGTCCTGAGGTCGCCGGGGAAACAGGCAAGAGTTTAAAATATCGCATCGTTAATATCAGGGTGAAAGGGGAGCTACGGGAAAGGTGGGGGCGGGGAGGGGCCTGGTCTGACTCAGTCCAGCTTCTCCCCGGCTTGGTGGGGGCCCAGAGGAGCAAATAAGAGTCCCTCACAAGCCTGGTGTGGTGGTGCACGTCTGTGATCCCAGCCTCGAGGGAGGCCGAGGCAGGAGGGTGTGGGTTTAGCTTCCATCTGGGAACTGAGCGAGACCAGGTCTCAGAATGAAACACAGAAAGGGAAGGGGATGTAGCTCAGTGGTAGAGTGGCCCCGGATTGGACCAGCCCTGGCTGGTGCTGGGTAAGATCCCCAGGACTGCAACAAAATCCCCACTCAATCTGCAACAGCCCGACAAGGTAGCACCCATAATTCCTCACGGACAGAGGAGAGAACAGAGGGCAAAGCAGCCAAGGACTCGGGTACAAACTGAAGAGTTTTGCCGCCAAGTCCACACTTTAAAGCTCTATCTTCTTTCTGACCTTTCTGAGAGGAGAGGGCTGCTCTTCTAACTGACGGGTACAAGGTGTACAACGTGCGGTGCCCAGCATGGTGTTTCCAGGCCCCCGCACATCGTGGGGGTGGCAAGTGCTAGCTCATGGCCCATCCATGACCTCTCCTGATAATGTACTTATAGCGAGGGCATTTTACACCTGCTGTCGTTTTCAAGGATACAACAGTAAGTTTGGCTGGGGATTTAGCCCAGTGGCGTTGCTGTCTGCCTGGCAAGCACAAGGTCCTGAGTTTGATCCCAGGTAAAAAAACAAAACAAAACAAAAAACTGGGAGGCTGAGACAGGAGGATCAGTCCAGTTCGAGGCTAGCCTGGGTTACACAGTGAGACCCTGTCTCATGAATCAAACAAACAAAAACTCCACACAACAAAACACATGGGACAGCACACATGCATTTAAAAAGATGATAGGATGGCAGATGTCAGAAGGAAAACTAACCTGTCCAAAGTGTGTGCTGGGGAGGAGTAGGGAGGGATCGTTGTTGGACCTCAGCATGTTTTCAGGGCTGGAAGGCCAGCTCGGGGAAGGGTGTGCCTGCTCAGCTCGAGGGCTGGTCCATCCTCAGTGCCCGGCAGACAGCAGCCCTGTGGTAACAGCACACAGCACGGTCACCGTGAGTGGCATTTGGTGACCACAGTGGGCCCAGCCCTATCTGGCCCAGCACACTCCCCACCAGAGGAAACCCCAACCGCGAGCAGCCCGCTCTGGATGCCTCCTGTCCGTGGCATCTGCGGCACTAGCCTTTGGTGACTTGGCTTCTTTCACTCAAAACACACCCGTGGGTGTCGCTGGGAAAAGCACAGTGAGGTGATAGAGACGGATGCCCTCAAGGCTGCTGTCCGAGACCAGCGCCCGCTCTCCTCTCTCCCCAGGGCTGTGTCTGGGTCAGGCGGCCCGAGTGCAAGGTGGTGAGTCCTCCCCAGCCTGTCCCTCCCCTGGGCCAGCCCCCGGGAGGTGCAGTGCCAGCCCTGGGGCTCCGCCCTGACCCCAGGCTCTGCCTCCCTCCAGGCCACCTCCCCAAGCCCTCCCTGCAGGCCCTGCCCAGCTCCCTGGTGCCCCTCGAGAAGTCGGTGACCATCGAGTGCCGGGGGCCCCCGGGGGTGGACTTGTACCGCTTGGAGAAACTGGGGTCCGGGAGCTACAGGGACGAGGCTGACCTCTTCATCCCGGCCATGAGGACCAGCCACGCCGGATGCTACCGCTGCTCCTACCAGAACGGGTCGCGCTGGTCGCTGCCCAGCGACAACCTGGAGCTGGTTGCTACCGGTAATGGGTGGGGGACGGAGGGAGGCCCCCGGGGAGCCCAGGGCAGGCAGTCCTCCTTTCTGTACCGGAGGGAGAGCGTGCGGGTGTGCGTGACACAAAGCCCCTTAGTCCCATGGGGCCGGCTTTGGGAAGAGACCCCGAAATCTCCTAGGGCTGGATCGGGGGTCACTGGCCTGGAGTACGGAATTTAGGGGCCGGGGCCTCCAAACACTCTTTAACCACCACAGATTTCATCTTCATGTGCTCTTTTCAAACATCAAATTCGATGCAAACATGTCCGTGATGAACACAAGATGATAACTGGAGAACCAGCTGTGCCCCACCAAGCATGGCCAGAGCCCTGACCAAGGGCAGTGTGCGCCCATCTGGCCTCAACCCAGTACATTTTATTTTTATTTTACTTGTATTTACGTGGTACTGGGGATTGAGCCCAGCACCTTCACGTTGATTTAGATCCCAGTCCTTTAATTTTTTTTCTTTGAGACCCCCATCTTGCTAAGTAGCCACGCTGTCTGATCTGGGCTCAAACGTGCCATCCTCCTGCCTCAGCCTCCCAGAGCGCTGGCATTACAGGCATGTGCCACCTTGCCTGGATTCAATGTATTTTTAAATGGCTACTTTCCAGCAGAAGACTTTGAAAAGTCATTGTTGGGTTTGTTTCCATGAAAGCCCATATTTAAAATGATACTGAATATTTTTAGAGGAGAGAGGAGGAGGTGTACATAAAAGATTTGAATGTAGAATAATGTGGATTTGAAAGATCTATTTATATATATTTTAGTAATGTTTCAACTATGTTAACCACCTCGGACAAGTTCAGGTCTGCACCCCAGGAGAGTGTCTCACTTGGCCCTGTCCCCGCTGCCTCTCTTGGGCTCTGTGACTTGTGGGCTCGGCCCCCTCTGTCTCTTTTTGGGTCCAACCCAAATGCTGTCTTCTCAATGTATCCCTTGTGCCCTGTTTAACTTTCACTCATCATGACCTCAGATGCCACACAGTAAGCTATGTATCTTAATCACGCCTAATTTTTTTCTGTCTGATGGGATTTTTATTTGCCAGAGCAGAAACAGACACACAGTAGTTCCTTAAGAAATTTTTAAAAATTGGGCAAGTGTGGTGGCACACACCTATAGTGTCAGCACTCAGGAGGCTGAGGCAGGAGGATCGCCGGGAGTTCAAGTCCAGCCTGCACTACATAGCGAGACCCTATCTCCAAAAAAAAAAAAAGAGTTGTTGAATGAATGAATGACTCGTAATTGTAAGGCAGCTCCGGGCGCCCTGTGGGCCAGGCACAGGCCCCCAGATGCTCAGCAGCCCAGACCTGGCAGTCGGGATCCACCATCACCAGTCTTGGCTTGGCCACTTCATGTCTTGTGATCGTGGACAAGTTATGGATTCAAAACACGTGTGTGTGAGGGGACGCGGCTCAGGGCAGAGACCCCAGGTTTGATCCTCAGCACGGAGACTTTACGATGGAACCCTGGGGACTTACATGCTAGTAAATTCCAGGCGTCCAGAGTGCTGTCACTGTAGCTGGACGAGGGCCTTGATCTTGGGCCCGGCTCCATCTGTACAGTGAGTTGCACGCATAGGTCCTTGGGACTGCTGAGCCGGGGCACAGACTCAACGGCCCGGCCCAGCCTTGTTGCCAATGCGCTTTGGGGGCTCCGGGCACTCTGGCTCTGGTCACCCCGCACACACCCCAGCACAGGACCAGGAGGCACAGAGCCGAGGCCCCGGGAGGCTACGCTGCCTCTGCAGCCTCAGGGGCGGATCCCCAGGCAGCCCTGCAACGCAGCCTCCTCCCCCCAGGGGTCTACCAGAAGCCCTCCCTCTCCGCGCACCCTGGCCCGGCCGTGTCCCCAGGGGGCGACGTGACCCTGCAGTGCCAGACCCAGTATGGCTTTGACCAGTTTGCTCTGTACAAGGAGGGGTCCACCAGGCCCCACAAGCTGCCAGAGAAGTGGTACCGGGCCGACTTCCCCATCATCACGGTGACTGCCGCCCACAGCGGGACCTACCGGTGCTACAGCTTCTCCAGCACATCCCCCTACCTGTGGTCGGCGCCCAGCGATGCCCTGGAGCTCAGGGTCACAGGTGAGGGTCCAGCGTCCACATCACTGGCTCTGTGAGGCCAAGGGAACACCTGGGCTCAGGAGTCTGAATTGGAACCGGGTGTGGCAGTGCGTCCTGCAGTCCCAGCACTCTGGGAGGCTGAGGCAGGAGGGTGGCAAGGTGGAGCCAGCCTGGGTGACTTGGTGAGACCTAGGTTGAAAATGAAAAACAGGAAAGGGGTGGGGATGTAGCCAGCAGGAAGGCCCTGAGCCCCAACCCCAGTACTGCAGAGGTGCAGGGGTGGTCTCACTGTCATAAAACAAGGCGGCCTCAGGTTGCTTCTTCTGGGGGTTCCGGGGAGGCTCCTTTCCTGCATTTCCCAGCTTGGAGCCCCTGGGTTCCTTGTTGGGCCCCTTCCTCCATGTTCAAGCCAGCCCTGCAGCATCCCAGAGCAGAAACGGCCTGTGCCGGCCTCTTCCGCTTACAAGGCCCAGGCCTGGCCTCCAGCCCTGGGGAAGCCAGGGAGCCCTCCACCAGGCCCTCCTCGCCTCCCACCCGCAGAACCCCCTTCCCACAGGAAGTAACCCCCAGGCCGATTAGGGTCAGCTGGGTCTGGGAGGCCTGTAGCGTTTGTTCCAATTTCAGTTTCTAAAATTTTAGTTTTTATTGGTCCACGTTTTTAGCACAGCCAACTCCATGTGCTGGGCAGCTGGCAAATGAGCCCAACGCACGTAGCTGGCTTCAGGTCCCCAGGTCCTCTCCTCGCTCCCCACCCTCCATCACTGGCCCCATGCCTTTTGGAAAGATCTACCTCCCTGCGTCCTTCGTTTTCCTCTTTAATGCATTTATACCTTGGGCTTCTCATATAAGAGACAGGACGTAGAATTTAGGCTGCTCTGTATGGTTTCCTTCGCTTAGCACTATGGCCTCAAGATGCATCCCATGAGTGCCGCACGTTTAGCCTTCGTGGCACAGTAGTACTCCACAGTGTGTCAACAGCACTTTTAATTTTTTTGGTACCAGGGACCAACCTCGGGACCTTGTGCTTGCGAGGCAGGTGGTGGAACTACTGAGTCAAATCCCCGGCCCAACAGCACATTTTCATTATACGTCCACGCACGGATGGATGCACAGGCCGCTTCCAGGATTTAGCTATGATGAATCGTGCTGCTAAAGGCATGGGTGTGCATGGCTCCCTCTAAAGTGCTGTCTTTAACGCTCTGGGGCAGATGTGAAGGGAAGATCTGGGTCAAATGGAATTCTAGTTTTAGCTTTTTGGGGGTTGGCGAGGCATTTTTGTCTTCTGCAGAGTATAAACACTGAGGAAAACAATAGAGTGATGTCTTGTTTCTGGCCTGAGTTCAAACCTTAAACAAACAACAAAAAACCTGGCAGAATCAGTAAAAAGAATTGCTACGGTTGCAGGAAGCAAACCGTGGAATGACCCCCTCTGCCAACAGTCAGAGGACATCGGGTGGATGAAGAATTCTGCCGCTGCGGCCTTTACTGCAGTGTAACACGGAGCATGGGTGCCTCACTCTCGCACTGTTTTAGGATTATGTCCTTTCGCACAGACTTGAAGCCAGTTTTCTTAAAATGCTTTTCTGGGGGGGCCGGGGATTTAGCTCAGTGGTGCCACCACCTGCCTATCTTCTGCCTGCCTCACAAGCACAAGGTCCTGAGTTTGATCCCCAGGACCCCCCAGAGAAAAAGAGAGAAAGAAAAGAAAGAGAGAGGACAATATACTTCATGAAGAAAACATGGTCTCTATTTGCGAAGGAGCGCCATTCAGCCTTGAAAAAGAGGGGACTCTGACACAGTACCTCACAGATGACCCTGGAGGTGACATGAGTGAGTCACAAAAGGACAGACACTGCTGGATTCCACTCGGTGAGGCATACAGTGTCGTTCAAATCTTACAGCCGAGCACAGAGCTTCAGCCTCTCCAGATGAGAAAGTCCCGGAGCTCTGCACAGAGGGCGTCTGCCGGACGCTGCTGAGCCTCACAGCTGAGCTGTCACAGCTGAACGCACCCGAGTATCAGGGAGGGCGATCTGTCCTATCCACAGCTCCTCATAAAGTAACATTTCTAAGAGTCTGATGACACACCATTGCCAAAGCTAAAATCTCAAGTTGTCCCTTCTCTAGCCTTCTAACACCATTAATAATCGGACTTTTATCACAGTGTTTCTTCTGTGTGACACTGGGGAGGTGGCACCAACTGAATAAAAGTGAATTATTCCGTTTGCTTAGAAAAGGAAACTAAACATCAAATGGTAACAATTTTGAGGATTTGGGGATTGAAAGTGTGTTAATTTTCTTATATTTTCTGGTACTTCTAGATTTTTCATTTCAATTGTTTATAGAATAGAAAGAGCATTAGCAAAGAAGAAAGCTGGGTATGCTGGTCAGGCATACCTGTCATCTCAGCACTCTGGGAGGCTGAGGCAGGAGGACTTCAAGTTTGAGCCCAGCCTGGGCAATTTAGCGACTCATCCAAACCCTTTCTCTTGATGTTAAGGCTGGTGCTACGCGAGCCTGCTGGAACTTCCCGTCAGTACACTCAGAGTGACTGGTAGAGCCGATGGTCTTTAATCAAGGATACATCTGGCATGGGCGTAATTGTGACTACAGCAAGCAGCATGAGCTAGAAGCTTGCACTGCTGCGAAGCCCAGAAGGTGGCAGCTTGGCAGTGCTTCTCGGAGGAGGCATCCGAGGGCAGAGGGAAGGTTGACCAGATGCCTGAGCGGGGGCCTGTCCTGCAGGGGAAAGGACTGTGACAGTGTGCTAGGTACTTCCTCTCCCACACTGTCACTCCTACCCCTTTCCCCAAACTGACAGTGAGGTTCCCGTCCCCGCCTCTCCTTCCCAGGAGATGAGGCTGCTCCCAAGGGCAGAGTGAGGGTGAGGGGAGGAGGCAGGCAGAGCTGGGGTTCCCTGGCAGGAAGCAGCTTGGGCACCGCTGCTCCCCCAGACAGTGATGTAGGAGTCTTGATACCATTTCTGTTCGGAGAAACTGAGTCATGGAACAGCTTTATCATTTGCTCAGGACTCACAGCCTCTTCTGGTTTCCCAGGAGCCTCTGCGGCCCCCAGCCAGTTGCCCACAGAGGCGCCTTCCTCCACGGCAGGTACGTTGAGGCAGATTCTGGTGTTGGGGATGGAGGTACGTGGATTCTTCCTTTGCTTTCGCCTCTGTTTTCTGTCTTTTTTTTCTTTCTTTTTTTGTGCTGGGGATTGAACCCGGGCCCTTCACATGGAGCTACTTTTTCTGTTTTTGAGTTTGAAACAGGGTTTTGCTAAGGCTTCACCTTACCATCCTCCTGCCTCAGCCTCCTGAGTGCTGGGATCACAGGTGGGCAGCATCACACAGCAGATCTCTTGACTTACGATTCACTCATCTCTGTCACAGACTTGCTTTGTTTTAAAGCCCCCTTATTCCCTCCCTTGACGAGGGCTTCAGCAGCAGGTAGTTGCTAAGACACATCTCATCCGCCTCCGCCTGTGAAGGCCGATGGGGCAGCATCTGACGCACAGAAGCTGTGTGCAGCTGCGGAGCCCTGGCCCTGTTTCTGAGTCCGTGGGTCTGTAGTCCTCGAACTGCCACGGCCTAAGAATCCCAGGGCTTCCCCGGCGCCTAGGGCGTCTGGGCGGGGCCCAGCCACGCGCATCGCAGACAGTCCTGGTGGTGCCACCCCGAGAACTAGAACGGTGGGGTTTTGTGCAGAGTCCCTGCCTTCCAAGGCTCTCAGGTGAACGGGGCACAGGGGAACACAGGGTGCACTTTAGGAAATGGGACCCTCGGCCGGGCCTCAGGGCAGACCTCAGTGTGAAGAGGGGACAGGGTGACAGGAGCCGGCAGAGGGGGTGGCGCTGGGGGCAGTGTGGGGCCGGCCCTGTCCCGTGAGGCGGGGCGCACATCGGTAGCACGCCACTGTGAGGGTCTGTCTGGAGTTTTGGGATTTTCTATTTTGAAAAATTAGAGTTGCAGAAAATCTGGAGAGAGCATAGAATAACCTCGTGTTGCCCTTACCGGGTGGTTCCACTTTACACCAGGAAAACACAACATGACAGCTGGGGTGTGGCCTCGGCTCGAGTGCGCGCCTGGTCTCCCCAGCTCATCCGGTGTGGATGCTGCGGCAGCCACACCCAGGCACAGGATGGTTCATTCCTGGAGGCCTCCCCCGGGCTGCCGATCTTCACAGCCGCCTCCAGCTCCTCCCCACACAGGTGCTCCTCCCCACGCAGGTGCTCCTCCCCACGCAGGTGCTCCCTGCAGATTCGGTGCAGCTGTGGCACCTGCAGGAAGCGCTGAGCAGGCTCCGTCAGGTGCCGGCCCCACACATTAAGTAGGGAGCCAAAACAGGGCTGTTTCTGGAGGTCCCCAGGCAGAGAACAGCTGAGAACACTCGGTGCCCAGATCCCATTCTGCCAGAGACACCTGAGCATAAGCCAGGTCTACCTGGGCCGGTCGCACCAAGGAAAGGGTCCTAGACGCTGACCCCACCCTCCGCGAGAAGCGCATGTGTACAGGCCGCGGGGCTCAGGGCATGTCGTGGCCAGGGGGACGCAACGGTCGTCCCCTGGTAAGCAACGGCCCGAGGAGGAAGGCGGCTTGTCGAGCTCAGAGTCTACCTTACCTTGTGCCCTCATTCGGCCTGCAAAGACACTGGTCCACCTCTTAATTTTAAGTTGAGACACAATTCGCTCACCATAAAATCCACCCTCCCCACTAGGATGGCTAGCGTTACCAAAAACAAAATAAAACACAAGTGTTGATGAGGATTTGGAGAAATTGGAAACTTCTCCATTCCTGGTGGGGTGTAATATGGTGCATCTTCTTTGAGAAATGTCTAGCAGTCCCTCCAAAAGTTAAACAGAGACTTACCTAGTAACCAGTGATTCCACTCTTGGGTTTTTACATAAGAAAAACAAGAGTTACGTTCACAGAGAAATCTGTACGTGAATGTTGACGACAGCGTCATTCATAATAGCACCAAAGTGGGAAGACTCCCCGGGTGGATCCAGTGCTTTTCAGCCACTGGAAGATGGAAGCTGAGACTCAAGGTCTGAATTTGTCTCTCCTCAACGACTATACAGTGTGGGGCAGAGAAAGGGGTTTAAGGAACCCTGGTATCTCAGAAGGATCTGGGCAGAGAGGGCCTCTGGGGAGAAAGACGTTAACTCTACTTCTTACCATGTCCTCGCTGGCATTCCCAGAATCCTCCAGGACACCCAGCACCTCACCGATGCAAGTAGACTCCACAGTCAGTAAGTAATAAGCACTCAAAGCTCAGCAGAAAGGAGTGCAAAGCTGGGGCTCTCCCCTCTATCATCTAAGGCTTTGGATGCATCCACTGAAGACCCTGCCCCTCACCAGGGAGGCCCTTGGTCTGAGGCCAGGATAGGAGGGTTGGGTCCCAGGCTGGTGAAGAGAAGCATTCTGGGAAGTACGGCAGATCCCAGGCTTTGATGGCTCACAGGAGCACTCTGGGAAGTGTGGCGGTTTCAAAGATGGCAACTCCCAGGCTGTGATGGCTCACAGGAGCACTCTGGGAAGTGTGGCGATTTCAAAGATGGCAACTCCCAGGCTGTGATGGCTCACAGGAGCACTCTGGGAAGTGTGGCGGTTTCAGAGATGGCCGCTCCCAAGCAACGATGGCTCACAGGAGCACTCTGGGAAGTGTGGTGGTTTCAGAGATGGTGGATCCTAGGCTCTGGTGGGAAGACTATCACGGCACCTATCCCTGTGCTCAGGATGACACCCACTCTTCCACTAGCCTCTGACCCAGTGTTTTTGTTCTCCACTGCATCCACGTGGAGCCTGTGCTCTAGCCTCACAGTCCAGAGTGCCCATGCACTGTGTATCTTCTGTTTGCTCCGGGCCCCACAGACACTCTTCCCTCACACTGAGATTTTCTGTCCTCCTGCTTTTCCTGGAAAGTGTCACAGGTCCCCTGAGGGGAGCAGCTCTGCCCTGGGGCTCACACACTGGCTCTCCTTAGGCTCCTGACCGCGGTTGGGGGGCGCTTTCTAACATGATGCCGGGATTCTCCTCAGGATGGGCCTGGCTTCCGCAGCTTGCTGCTGGGGAGCTCAGACGTTAGCCACTCTCAGCCTGCACTCCCTCAGGCAGCCACATGGAGGCCCCTCTGACTCCCCAACCCCACGTGCTCTGCCTTGACTTCCACATCCCTTGGCTTTGGCGCCTCAGGAAAGCCCTCTGGATGCTCCAGGCTGGGCTGGTGGCCCCTCTGTACCCACGGCGTGTCCCATGGGCCACCCCTTACAGCAGCGTCCACGCCACTCTACTTCTTGCCCAAGAATCCCCTGGACCTTGAGTGATTAGTCCGTGGGTCCCTGCAGCCCAGCACATGCTGAGCCCCTAGCCGTCTCAGGTAGCCCTCGTGGAAGAAGACAGTGGATGCTGCGTGTTTTCTGGACAGCCGGCCTGGGCCTGGCGCAGCTCCTAGAGCACAGCTTGAGCATTCCTGTCTGAAATGCTCGGCAGCAGGAGTGTTTGGGACTTTGGAATATTTGCACACACCTTGGGGGTGGAACCAGATCTAAACACAAAACTCATTTGCTTCCTGTACACCTTCTACATGCAGCCTGAAGGCAATTTCATACAGTGTTTGTATTATTTATTTATTTGGTACTGGGGATCGAACTCGGGACCTTGTGCTTATGAGACAGGTAGTGACACCTCGGTAGGCTCCTCATACAGTATTTTTGATGCATCTGCATTTTGACTGTGACCTTGCCTGTGAGGTCAAGTGTGGAATTTACCACTCGAGGCATCTATCAGTGCTCAAAGAAATTCCAAATTTTGGAGCATTTCGGATTTCAGATTTTTATAGCAGGGATGCTCAATAGGTGTTAATTTCTTTCTTTACCTTTCTTTTTTCTTTGTGTGTGTGTGTGTGTGTGTGTGTGTGTGTGTGTGTGTGTGTGTGTGAGACCGGGAGTTGATCCCTGGGCTTTGCCCTAAGCTACCTCCCCAGCCCTTTTCTATGTTTCATTTTGAGATAGGGCTAAGTTGCCCGGTCTGGGCTTAAGTTTGCAGTCGTGCTGCTGGGATGACAGGTGTGATCTAAGTACTGGTTTCACTGGATGGACGGGAAGTAGGCTTAGAGATACCGGGTCCCTGGCCAGAGGCCCTGCGTCGGACAAGCACTGGCCTCAGGTCCACATTGGGGGCTGCCTGGACAGTCCAGGGCCCTGGACTCCACCCCCAGGCAGCGCACCAGGGCGGGGCATGCTTGCTTCACTCACACGGAGCCTTCTGATTCCTAGCGGCATCTAGGGACAACACTGTGTCTCCGAGGGGCTCAAGCCCTCCGCTGGGTAAGTCGGCCTCCCAGGCCCTCTCCTGCTCACCTGTCTCCTCCCTGAAGTGCAGCCTGGGCTCCTGGGGTCTGCGTGTGTGGAGCATTAATGGGACAGGGTGCTCAGCACGTGGAGCTCCAAACTGGGCAGTAGGATCAGGCGGGCAGGTTAGGCTGTTCCCAAGGGTCAGAGAAAGAAGAACGCCCTCCCTCTCCCTGCCCCGTCTCACTGTCCTCCTCTGCAATCAGCCAGCCCAGTGGGGGCCCTGGGTCGGGGGGTCCCAAGGAGCCTTTCTGGGTGTGGGGAGAGCTGCACCCCAGCTGGAGGGAACAGTACGATCTGGGTCAGGGATTCTGTGGCCCGCGGGGGTCCTGATTCAGCCTCCCCCATGGTGCTTTCTCTCCACCCAGGTTTCTCCCACCTGCACTACATCAAGGGCAACCTGGTGCGGCTGTGCCTGGGCGCCCTGGTTCTGGTCCTCCTGGCCGGACTCCTGGGGGAGGCCTGGCACAGCCGAAAGGAACTGCTGCCGCTCCGGGTCCGAGCCTTGCACAGGCCGCTTCCCCCGCTCCCGCATGCCTCGAGGTCCCCTGGCCGCCAAGAAGGGGCCCTGCGGCCTGGGTGCCATCGCTAGTGTGTGTGTGTGTGTGTGACCCCGCCAGGACTCTCCTGGGCTCCTCACCAGGCTCTCACCGCCCTGCCCCACCTGGCTTCCTTCTCCTTTGTGCAGACCCTCCGGGTGCCTCTCCTGCCTCCACGGTGCCTCTCCAGTCCTTATCTGGACCTCATCTTCCACTGCAGCCGGTCACCTCCTCTGTTCCTGGGCCAGGACAAAGCAGCAGGAGGGGCCCTCGCCTGCTGGGGAGCCTGGGCCTCGGCAGCACTGCCTGTTCTCTGGGTCCCCTACCCCTACTGTGTGCTTTGGGGCCAGAGTTAGTAAGGGAAGGGCTTCCGCTCAGAGCTGGTGGAGAGGAATGACAGGCGGCCCTCGCACCCCCACAGGGACACTCACCGGGAGGCTGCCACCTGGCATGGCAGGGAGCTTGGAGTTCACCACACTGCTCAGGATGGTTTGCAATTTAAATCTGTGATTCTTTTGGTGCTGGGGACTACCTTAGCATTGAGCTACATCCCCAGGCCTTAAAAAAGAGATTTTGGGGGGATGGGGATATAGCTCAGTCTGTATGTGTCCCCCGCGACTCCCACGCCCACCTCACAAGCCCAAGGTCCTGAGTTTGATATCTGGTACCAGGAGAAAAAAAGTGGTGTTTGTTTTGTTTTGTTTTTTGATCTAAGGTCTTGCTAAAAGACCCAGACTGGGCTTGAACTTGCAGTCCTCCTGCCTCTGTCTCCCAGAGTGCTGGATGATAGGTGTGTTTACTTCTGGAATTTCTGCTTAACATTTTCAGACTGAGGTTGACTATGAGCAAAACCACGGCTGAGGTGGAGGACTAGCAAATCCATGGCTTCTGGCCAGAAATGAGTCCAAAGTCCCAACCTTGGCCTGCAGCCCAGGGTAGGGACGGAGACAGCAGTGATGGCCCCGCCCCACTGTGAACGCTCTGACGCCACCGGACTGGCCCACTTCAAACACAGTCGGTGTCCAGATGAGGAGGTGGCTGTGAGGGCTGCAGATGTCCCCCCACAGATGGGGAGAAGTCGTTCACCCCAATGTACACTGCATGGTGTACTGTGGGCTCTTCCCACCTGGTCCCCCACAAACACCTGCTACTACTGTGTCGTTATGTATCGGTCACCATTAATCTAATAAAAGGCTGACTTGTGTTAAACTTCACCTCTCTGAAAACTACAGGGGAAAGCCCTTGTTGTCCACCAGGCATCCATCTGGGTGGGCTCACACATCCTGGGAGCCAGCAGGCCCGTCCTTCACAGTCCTCAGAAGCCGGACCTAGTCTCGGCTGTCCCCGGGCACGGATGTGACCCGTGCACCCCTCAGGATGAGGGGAGTCTGAGGGGACCCTGAGCAGGGGAGCCACTCTGCCGTGATGACAGCTGGGAAGCCAATGTGGGCTTGGTCCTGGGTGTGCGGAGGAGGAGAAGCACAGGGTGACCTTGGCACCCCACCCCCACCCCCAAGCTGTCCCCAAGGGAGGGATCAGCTGGTAGCCCAGGCAGAGCTAGATAATTTGGCCAGCTCTGCACCCTGTCACCTGCCCTCCTCCCGGGTGGCTTCATGGCTCCAGGCCACCTCGAGACCAGCGGGCACATGGGTGTCTGTGTCACTCCTGGTCCTCCACACCTGCTTCCTCACCTGGCCGCCAGCAAGCCCTACCCATCAGTCGGGACCCCAAAACCCCATCTTCCCTGCTCAGGTGAGGAAAGTCATAAGCAAAGAGTTCGCCTGCACCCCCAGGCGGGTGAAGAGATGCGCTTGCAGATGCAAGACTGGGGTTCATGGATTCGGGGTCACACGGGTTCTGGGAGCCTCAGGCTTGCTTCTGCGGGCCTCTGTGGAGGGGACACCATGCTCCCGGCCTGCTGCAGCCTGTGAGGGTGACACAGGCCCATGAGCGCAGTCCTGCACCCAGATCCTTCCTCTCCTGGTGCCAGCGCCCTGGCTGTCGGAGTCGGGCTGAGGACAAGGTACATCTTAGTGAAACTCACAGTGTAACAAACAAACCAGCAAGTGTGCAAATAAATATGTTCAGCTCACTGGGGACTTAGCTCAGTGGTTCCACCACCAGCCTCACAAGCACAAGGACCAGAGTTCGATCCCCGGTACAAAAAAAAAAAAAAAATGTTCGGCTCATGATCAGCACCTTGGAGAACCAAAAGAGGGAGGGAGTGCTGGCACAGCCTATAATCCCAGCTCCTTGGGAGGCTGAGGCAGGAGGATTGTGAATTGGGGGCCAGCTTGGGCAAGCCACTTAGGGAGACCCTGTCTCTCATAAATAAATAAATAAATAAATAAGTAAATAAATAAGTAAATAAAAGGCTGGGGTTTGAACCTGGAGTCTCAAGGATGCTAAGCAAGTGCTCTGCCACGGACTCACACCCCAGCCTTTGAACATGTTCCAAATGAAATAAGGATTTCTGTTTCTCTAAGTTCTTCTGTCACAGAACGAAGAAACAGCGGCTGATTAGATCCAGGGCCAGCGTGGAGCGGGCGCTCATGGCAGCCAGAGCCGACACCCTCCCGTTGGGGCTGACAAAGGCCCAGGGCACATCGCCCGGCATCCCGGTGTTCAGAGACGTTTCTGGTCGTGGCCACAAGAGGGCGCCGCGGGCGAGGGATTCCGACGTGGCGGGGCCTCCCGGAGCCGGGGTTTGCAGCTCCAGGCG